GTAGAGTTTTTTTTTTCTTATTTCCACCTTTATTTATTTATTTTAATGATTTATTTATACACAATTGTAGTCACTTTATTGTTAAAGGCATAGGCTTCTATTCCCAACGCTATATTGACAAGTACAAATGTGCTTTCTATTGTCTGTTGCCCATTATTGTAGATCATATATCAAACTGTTATCTTATTTCTTATCATATAATAAACATTTATTTGACTAAAAGAGATGAGCCTAGCAGATAGCTATTGATTTTGGTGCCAAAGGTTGTATGCCTATAAGCGCTAGTGTGACTATAAGCTCCAACCTCCATAAAAACAGCCGCTTTCAGCCACCTTGGAGAAATTCATGCCCACAGTTCACAACAGAGCCTGTGAAGTCATTTAGGTCGACTCTCAATGCTGTCTCTCTTCTATCCCTGTGCTCCTGTTCTATGTTTACATTAGTGACTGCTAAAACACTTTTGGGAATGCCACAATACCTGTAGCTACAGAAGTAAGTAAGCACTTTGTTGCTCACTTCCTTTTGCACTACGGCAGTCAATGTGAAGAATCCCATTATTTTAAATGGTACCTGTTCATGCCTGAGCATTGCATCACTTGTTTGCTTTTAAAGTTTATTTACTGCTTGTTAAAAATATGTAAATATTTGAATGCACCTAGCTTTTCTACAATTCTGCTTTAAATTGAAACACACAGAAATTTTCAATATAGACAGGAAGAAGTATTACACCAATTTAGTAAACATTTAAAGTTAGACTTGTGTATATACTGTAAAATGGAAGAGGAGAAAATATTTAGCTTGGTTACAATGCATACAATATTAAAATGTATATGCTTCCTCATACATATGAATGTGTGTTAGGAAGCATATGGAAGGTATTGTCTGTGTCCCATTGGGAAGGTTTCCCTTCAATTCCTGTCCTACCGATACAACAATAGAAGAGAAAATGTCATCAAGTTGAAGGGAAATTCACTCTTAGACAAATATCAAATTGTGAAGTTGTCTGGTGACAGTCATATCATTTAGTTTTTTCTATTTTGAATCTCAATGACAATGGTCAGCAGGATAAATAGAGAGGATCAATATTTCTGCTGGGGACACAGCCAGCAATAAGGCCTGGTTCACACCTATGTGTGATGCAATCTACTACATGAAAAAAAGTCCCTAACTCTTTCCAAAAACACAGTGGCTGAAAATGCATAGATGTGAGTGTGTCCCATAGGACCCATAGGCAGCACAGTGGCTAAATGCATAGCACTTCTGCCTGGCAGTACTAGGGTTGCTGGTTCAAATCCCAACCATGGAATCACCTGCCTGAAGTTTCCCTGTGTTGGTTTCCTCCTCTACTCCAAAAACATGTTGGTAGGTTAATTGGATCCTGTCTAAATTGGCCCTAGTATGTGTATGAATGGAAGTTAGGGACCTTAGACTGTACACCCCTTGAGGGTTAGGGACTGATATGATTGTACAAAATATATATATATGTATATGTATAAGTACCTTAAATAAAATAAATGACTTTAGAGCATTTCTGCAAAAAAGCAAAAAAAAAAAAAAACGTATATGTGTGAACCAGGTCTAAAGGCATGATAGAGATTGCAAAAGAAATAAAATTTTTGGCTAGAGATACACTTTAATGAACAAATATTCCACTGAAATGTGACTTTCTTCCTATGGAAAGCTAATACTCTAGCTGATAAAAGGTACATACCAAACTACTTGGTGGTATGCTAAATTATATGATGCATAGCCATAATTCGCTATTTACCCAGAAACCACATAATTTGTTTGCATGCAAGTTATCCAGAGGAAGACTGCTTAGCCACTTGTAACAATAAAAAGATTGAGTATTGGCGCAGGAGAGGTAGTTGTGGGTATATTAGTCACAAAGATCAGTGGGGAGATGGAAGAAGTTCAGCTGTAGGGATGTAAAGGGATTTATTCAGAAACCCGGGAGGGTTTTTCTGGAGGGGGTAAGGGATGTACAGTGGAGATGGAAGATAATGCAGCTTGAGTAGCTCTTGATGAGGGGGGGTTACTTTAAGACACTGCACAGAATAACACAGTCGTAAGGCAGCACCCTCTAGAGTAAAGCGGAACTCTGTAGTGAGAAAAATAGAGGAGAGAGAGGTGCGCCAGACTAAGTGTAGTATAAAAATCACAGTTTATTGCACACAAAATAAAAACACTCACAGGAGGTAGAGATATATCAGGCATCAATGATATATAGGGAGGACATCATCCGGGCGTGATCCCATCAGCAGGGTGGATGGAGTTCCAGGGGCCACAGTTGTACCAGCTGGTACTCCTTGGTAATACCCGTGGAAGGGGTAAGGAGGGCAGGTGGATGTCCAGGGGGCCGCGGTGCATGTGTGAGCAGGGTCACCTGGCAGGTGTCTCTCGCCTCTCCAGCCAGCATGGGCTGTGTCACATAGGGGGGAAGAACAAGCCTGGAGCGCATCCAAGATGGCCGCCGACTAGAAGTGATGTCAAAAAAAGTATGTGAAAAAAATTGTGAAAATAATTTTTTTTAATTTTTTTATTTCCTGAAAAATTATGACAAAAAAATTACAACTTCAAAAAACTTGCCATGCTTCTTATGAAATACGTTGGACTGTCTACTTTGCAAAAAGGGGTCATTTGGGGGATATCTGTACTGTTCTCACATTTTAGGGCCTCAAGAAATTAGATTGGCTGTCAGTGCTTCAGGATTGATCAATTTGCAGATACTTTGTGAACTCTATAACTTTCCTACAGACTAAATAATAAAGACTGAATTGGGTTATTTTCACCAAAGACATGTAGCAGAATACATCTTGGCCTAAATTTATGAAGAACAATTATTTATTTGCAAACTTTTATAACAGAAACAAAAAAAATTTGTTTTTTTTTTTTAATTTCTGTCTTTTTTTGTTAATTTAGCACAAACAAAAAAAAATAAAAACCCCAGTGGTACTTAAATACCACCAAAAGAAAGCTCTAGTTGTTTTAACAAAAAATGATAAAAGTTTAGTTTGGGTACAGTGTTGCATGACCGTGCAATTGTCATTCAAAGTGTGAGAGCGCTGAAACCTGAAAATTGGCCTGGGCAGGAAGGGGGTAAAAGTGTACTGAAGTGGGTAAACATAGGTCTGAAAAGGTCCATGGATTGCCCTGTACTAGGTGAGCATATTTACATGTGTGTACTTACCAAAGGAATGTTTGGCATCAGAAGCTGAATTACAACTAGTATTCAAGACAATTCCTTTGTACTTCAGCTTGTCTCTTGCGATTTGTTGGCAATGAAAGCGTTACACTCAGGATACCGTCAATGTGTAATGGATTTTAGATAGTGAGTAATTTCTTCTAAGATTGCCAGCAATATGTAATCTGTTCTTCTGTGTGTTGTTCTATTCAGCAGCCTTTCCCTTCTTTGTTTGTAATGAATAGCCCTCTCCGATTTTGTTTCTTGTTAAATCAGTAAACAATGCACAACATTTGGCAAAACGGGCTGAACAGCTACATCTAAAGTGACTGCACTATGGAGATAATGAAAGTAGAAGCCATTCCTCACTGGTGTGAACACACTCCTTGTGTGCCTCTCCGCTCAGGACAGAGGACAATGAATTCACTTTATCCTTTAAGACTGCAGCATCCTTACTATTTTTTTTTATTCTCAATTAGGATGTTTTTCAAGTTTTTGAACCATCCTAAATGGCAATTTTACAGAAAAATAGAAAATGATCTGCAAGGGGACAGGCACCGTAGACTGACATGATATTATTTTCATTTGCATACAAAATAACTGCAAAGTTTCAAAGCTCTTTTTTTTTGAAGCAGTAAGCATGACATTGGGATTTTTTAGGCATACATTTGGAAATGTGATGTTGCCTTATTTAATAACCAGCCTGCTAAAGTTTAACTACAGAGCAACCTCTGTTTCTTGGTGCTCAAAGAAAGTTCATATGTTCAGTGTTACAGAGAATGGCCTATAAGTAAGATTTTAAAAAAATATTACTATCAGAAACACATTCTAGGATTTAAAAGCATGCACCCATAATACATGTACAGTATATATCTCCATGCATTTTGCAGAGGCCACTGTTTAGGCCGTATGAGCAAATGCTCCCATATGCATGAGCCCTTACACTGTATTATGGGGAAGCTCAGGGTCCGTTTCCCATCCCTAGAGGCAGTATCGTCCCTAGGCTGGTGCAGGGGGGTGCGCGCTGCACCGGGTGACACCTACCACACGGGGTAACACCGGACCCGCTCCACGAAAAGGTAAGTTGTAAAGCAAGCCGAAGATCCCCGCAGGATGGATCCGATCTGCGGATTGAGCATAATGGATCAGAGTCCGATCCATTATGCTCTCCAATCCGCAGATCCGATCCATCCTGCTAGGGTTGTCGGCTTGATTTATAACTTACCTTTTCATTGAGCAGGTCCGGTGTCACCCCGTATAGGTTGCATGCCAACGATCCCCGCAAGATGGATCCTTTATGCTCATTCCACAGATCCGATCCATCCTGCGGGGATCGTCAGCATGCAACCTATATGGGATGACACCGGACCTGCTCCACTAAAAGGTAAGTTGTAAAGCAAAGCTGACGATCCCCGCAGGATGGATCGGTTCTGTGGATTGAGCATAATGGATCGGAGCCCAGCAGTGCCGCCAGTTAGTGCCCATCATCAGTGCCAACCCATCAGTGCCGCCTATCAGTGTCCATCAGTGCTGCCTATCAGTGCAGCCTCATCAACGCACATCAGTGAAGGAGAAAAATTACCTGTTTGCAAAATTTTATAATAAAAACAAAGAAAAAAAATTTTTTTTTTTGCTATTTTTTTTGTTTATAGCGTAAAAAATGAAACAACCAGCAGCGAGTAAATACCACCAAAAGAAAGCTCTATTTGTGTGAAAAAAATGATAAAAATTTCATATGGGTACAGTGTTGCATGACCACGCAATTGTCATTTAAAGTGCGACAGCTCTGAAAGCTGAAAATTTACCTGGTAAGGAAGGGGGTATAAGTGCCTGGTAGGCAAGTGGTTAAGGGCACAATGGTACACATATGGTGGGAACAGGGGCGGACTGACCATTTGGAAACTTGGGCACTGCCCGAGGGCCCGGGGTCAGTAGGGGGCCCCATGAGATGCCCCTGGTACCTTTTTCATAGGCTTTTTTGAGTTTGGGCAAGGACACAGGGGCCCCATGATCCCCTATTGCCCGGGGGCCCCATGAGTTGTCATTCCGCCCCTGGGTGGGAATGCCCTAAAATACAGGACTATTGGGAAGAAATAACCCACCAAATACAGGAGATCCTGCGGACTAATATCTCGAAGGATCCAGGCAAATGTTTATTTCATAAAACTGAAATTACAGTAGAAAAATACAATAATATGATGATATTTCACTTAATAAATGCAGCAAAGGGATTGATACTAAAATTTTGGAAGGCACAGGAGGCACCAAAAATAAAGGACTAGATAAATAGGGTAGATTATATAAATAGGATGTTATGCCGAGTAAATAGATACCTAGCAAGTCATGCTTTAATATTGCGTAAAGCCATGGAATGCCAAACTACTTAAAAATCTCTATAGGTGACACTCTTAAAGCCTTTACAGGCCACCAGCTTAGAGTTACACAGTACGTCTGGTGCTAGAATTATTGCTCTCACTGTAAAGTTTCTGTGATACCTCACATGTGTGTTTCAAACGCTGTTTATATACTGTATGCTTCTCACCTTTGCACATGAGCACAGGAGGGCAGGGGTGCTTTAAATTGTTTTTATTTATTCATTTTATTCTACATTTTTTTTACACTGCCTCTTTATTTTTTATCACTTTTATTCCTATCACAAGCGATGAACAAGAGATGAACAACATCCCTTGTGATAGCATGTGCAGTGACAGGTACGTTTTACTGAGACTTCTGGGATCTATTAGACCTCAGATCTCTCCTTTGCCCCTAAAAGATTGGTTTGACCAGATGTTTAAAGGCTTGTTTACGTTTGAGCAAAATCAGAATTGACAAAATCCCAACCATAGAGTGATCAGAGAACTAGTCCTTTGTCATCTCTATGGTAAGCCAGCGAAACCACCAGGCTTCAGTCCCGGGCTCCCTGGTAGAACATGAGAACCTGGGAAGGTGGTGGAAGGCAGCGAGAAGGGGGGACCCCTTTCTGCTCTATGTAAAAGCTTTCCAGCGGCTTTTCATTCGCTCTGATCACTTTTACTCTCTGGCTGAAAAGTGATACCGGGGTCATGACTGCAACTGCAGCCGTGGTGCTGGTATATCCACTTCAATCTGAGGACATACAGGAACATCCTACAGGCAAGAAGTGGGTAAATTGGTATGTAGAAGGTACAATCTGCATTTTGTTGTGTGGTTTTATATTTATGTTTTTGTGAAGGCTTCAGTAAATTAAAGTGGTTCTAAAGTTAAACTTTTTTTACCTTAATGCATTCCCATGTATTAAGGTAAAAAATGTTTCACCACCTATTAACACCTTCCTAAACACTTATCTGAATCCTCTATCAGTCCAGTCTTCATTCTCTGCTTTCACAGGAGACTCTGAGTGCAGTGGGAGCTGTCAGTCATATCCTGTAAGGAGGATTCTGGGGGCATGGTTGAGCTGCACTGTGTGCTTCTATAGACACACAGTTTTCTGGTTTGGTAGAGCGTGCACAAGTGCCCCCTTAGCACATAGCTTGCACATGGAGCTAAGTGTCTGATGCAGTACTTCTGTTTGTTGTACACCACATCACTTCCATGTGTAGAGCTACCCTCGCAATGGCGACTTGATGATGCTTGTCCGCAGTGGTTGTCATGACCTTGTAAGCCTACCAACACCTCAGACACTCTGGGATTAGACATATTTCAATAGTAGAGAATAATAATGCAAGAGACACAATTCATTAGTGACACCTCTATATTGGACTTGTTCAAAAGAATAGACCACAGGAATATTGGTTTAAGGTGCACAACCTCAGTGAATGCTTAAAAGCAGAACACTGACACAGTAAAAAACAATCAACTCCAGTTTAACAGATTATACAGTTATGAGAAGAAAGCTTCATCTATTTAACTGCAACACTGGCAGTAAGAGGGGGGAGAGAAGACTTGTTGACTTATCAGCTCCCTCTGGACCATCAGCGTTACAAATGGTATGCAGAGAATTATGTAAATGTTTACTCTGTCATAAATATATGTAGGTACCCTAATATGTGTAACAAATGGCCTTAGAAAGGAAGATGTCCCTTTAACTAGACATTGCAGGTTGAATCCTGTGATGTTAAAAGTTCCTAATATGGCAGTATCAGCTGTCTTCTGCTAGCAATGATGAGACCCATAAACATTAGTGAATATTGGTAACTCAATGAAATTAAACAGATAGGTTGTGGTACTGCTCAAAGTAAATGTCTCCTGGTTACTGAGATGGAAGGGTGCCTGCATGCAGTGTCTCTAGAAGGATGACAGAAAGAGGTTGGTCATGTGCCCGCTCACCAATCCTATGGATAGCACGGCCTCCTAGGAGCAAGAGTTCTTGCACAGACTCTTGATTGTTTGCAGGAATGTGCAGTGTTATCACCTAAAAGGCCGTCAGTGTGGTGAGCAGCGATGTCTGTGTGAGGACTGAAGAGTGGCAGTCCCGATGCAGAGAAGACTGATGCGATTCTGGTGTGGTGACTTCTGTGCAGACTTCCACTGCTGAACTGCTGTGCAGACTTCCACAGCAGTAGCCCACAATTTGTCTCTGTATAAGAACAGCAGTCCCCCTGGGGTTTATTTAATAAAGCTGGAGAGTCCAAAATCAGACTCCCTTCTCATAGAAACCAATCAGCTTCTAACCTCAGCTTGTTCAATGAAGCTTTGGCAATGAAACCTGGATGCTGATTGGTTTCTATGCAGAAGGGAGTCTGATTTTGGACTCTCCAGCTTTAGTAAATAAACCCCCCTGTGTCCAGCTCTTAATCCCACAACAAGAGAACCTGCTTGAGCCTGTCATCCTCCTCATTCACCAGCTCTCTGGTATATGTAGTTCAGTCAACACTCAACGGAAAACGGTTTGTATTGGCTATAGGTCTACAGGTCCCAAGATCCTCTGCTGTCAGAAGAATTGGATCCATTCTACTAACAGGAAGTGATGTATCTGTCCCAGTTCTGGGCACTAGGGGAAAAGACGTAATCATAGTCTCATCTGTAAGTGTCCCTGAATTTCATAATCACATAGCTGGTACCTGGCTACGTCTGTTACTCCTGTGAAATGTACACAGATGATGCCTCAAGCACAGACAGTGTCAGTTGCTCCCTGCTAGCAGATCCTGCTCTTGCAGCCCACTGCAAACAGCAGAATGCAGAGGGAACCCAGATGGATGTCTTACTAGGAAATGGTAATTATAACACAGAGGTTTTATCATTTTCAGATTAAGGAGCATATGGTGGTAGAAAAAAAAGCTAAACTTGTTGGAAAGATTTAGGTCTCATTCAGGGTACAACAACATGTTCTCTTTAATGCCCCTTTTCTCATCTGCACATAGTTACCCTTTTATATCTCCCCCACCACGCCATTCAACTGCAAAGAGCAAAGAAAGAAAGAAAGCTCTATGTAAGGTCCGAATTGCTCTAGTTGGAAACTATGCAAGAGCATTCTCTGTGTCCCCATATGACAGCAGAGGGGCAATAACCAAACACTCACAGTGTCACACTAAGTGAGTCACACGCTTCTCTGTACTTGGGAGTACAGGTATTTTCTTTGCTCCTGCTTGATTAGGATGGTGGATAATGAAAGTCCAGTCCTCTTTTGGGGGAGGGGTTATGAGAAATGGCCCTCCACAGTCAGGATATTGCACTAAACCTGTAGGTAAATAAGAGAGTCAGAACCTTCGCTAAGTGAAACAGTGGGATTGATAATAAAGTTGGCTGTGCCTTCACTGATGATAGGGACTCTGTGAACAGAGGGGATTCCCTTCCTGGGAAATTAATCAGTAATGTAAGCAAAGTAATTGGGAGCAGAAGAACTATGCCTGCAACCAACATATAATATTACCTCAAGCATATAGATGCACACTAGTATAGAAGTAATGCAAACATTATTTAGGAAGATATTAATAACAGTACATACATTCAATGTACAAAGAAGTATTATCAGCAAAGGCCCTGATAGGAGTCCTGGTGGAATTGTGAATGTATACCTGGTTATATATGGTTATTAAAAGAGATATCTCTAGATGAATGTTGTAGCAAAGTCCAGTTGCAGGGGCCCCTGAGGATGATGCAGCAACTTTTTTTCAGGAACCTGAAGACAAGATCAGTAACCATGGGGGTATCCTACAACTGTTGTCCGACCAGGCTGGAATGGGACTTCTCACCTGCAGCAACTGTGGTGTGGAACTGAAACTCAGAGTCAGCATATCTACTCTGTGATTTAGTCCCTTTTTACTAGTTTATAATAGTCTGGTCTGGGTGAAAATATAACAGCAGCAATTACACGGACAGAACACCTGCACAAAATATGTACAAATTACTATTTTTTTTAAAAAACTTAGCCTTTAAGCTAATTATTGCTTGTCACATCTCAGTTACAACAGCTGACCTCTGAGAATTCATTTCCATGCTATTGAATTTAAAGTTTGTTTTTTTAACTGGAAGTCAGTGGGCGTGAAATGCTGCTGTTGTGTACCAGGCAGAACCATTTGCATTAATGTTGTATTTGGTTTAATTCACATAAATAAATACTCCAAACACAAGCTGGATAGCCCCTTTTGGAGTTGTTGATCCTTTGTGTAGTCAAACAAAGCACAATGAAAGAAGGGCTAATAATGGCAAAAAAAAAAGAATTTGCATAAATTGAGATGCAGTGGCAAGGTTGTCCTGATCACTGCAGCATAGCAGGAAATACAGTTTGCAAAACAACAGTAGGTCAAGAAGCTTTAGGCAAAATTGTAAACTAGAAGACTAAAATTTTAACTAAAACCAGGAATAATTCAATAACATTCCCGAAACCAACTTGCACTGATCAGCATAAATATGATTCATGGAAATGATAACTACATAATTGTTTATCCATGCAATGATAATAAGTAAAACATTTCATTGGGCATGTTCTGTACATTTGCAATTCTAAATATATTCCCATTTTATTGGAAGTGCTTATATTGTCTGCCATAGTGTGTTTTCTTGCTGGTGAATTCCTTTGTTTGCTGCCCCTGCTGTAAGTAACCCTGTATGTGTCCCTACCCTGGCAATAATCTATGCATTAATACCATCGCTTTTTTATGAATTGTCCTTTTTGCCTTGGTATCAGTGAACTCTATGCTAATAATGCATCATGGAGAACTAATTACCATGAATTTGTGTAACTAGCAAAAGTGTGCCTATTAACTGTATGAAGAAAAAAGAGAGCTTGTGTGAAGTAAAAAGTCATCTATACTCTCATTTTTGTTTGCCTTCCCCTGGCTTACAACACAATACAAATAAGGATTTCGATAACCCTTTCCTGCTACTGTATCCAAGTTTGTCACTGGGCTTTTAGTTATACAAGATGCAATACTTTAGTTATACTAGATGCTATCAAAAACATATCATTAAAGTGTTAATAAGCCCACAACAGTAAAATCAGTCTGCATATGCAGTACAGCATGCTTGTTATACTCTCTGTGGAACCTAAGGGGTTAATCCTCTGCTTTGTGTAAAAACGCTGTTTGATCCTGACTTCTCTGATCTTCTCCTTCTTCCAGTGCCACCCTCTTATCTGCTGATAAGACATATGGTATGTAAACACTCTGCATATGCTCAGTTTGGTGTGTATTGCTAGAGAGGTTTTTTTTTTTATCTTGGGAGAGTGCATGTGATCAGCACAGGGCCAATCAGCACTGTCCAGACAGAGGTCAGGGGTTCTGTATCCTTCTAGAGCAGAAAGAAAACTTTGCCTACAAGCTTTAACCAATGCTCTGCTGAACACTGATAGAAATCACAAGACTGCTCTAACTGTTGATGAGAAAAGGCATTTAGCAGTTTATATTTACTAAAATAATTGCATTTCCATGTTGTGTGTACTGTGGGAAACCGGATATAGTGAATGCAGGGTCCTGGGTTTAGTAACACTTTCAGCAAGCACTCCTATGTGATTCACACAATACCAAAAATACTATAACCCAATGAGCGTAGCACTACAATCACCTCCCTAACATCATAAAAAGAATGATAATCTTAATATAAATATATATGCATATATATACCTTGATTCATGATTATGAATCAACACATTTCATCCTGATGTAGCACTACCTCCTTAGGGATTGCTGATGAATTGGGTCCCCCTATAGTCCCGCACAGCCAATCTTTCTGCATTTTCCACACAAGCTTGCATTCCGAGACAGATACCAGTCCTTGAATATTAGTTTTGTTATTTTATTGAGGGGATTAGAATTTGGATAGGGTAAGGGGGGTATAGGATGCCCAAGGGAAACGATAACTGGGAACAACTTCCTGAACTATTCACAAGCTTCTCTTCTGCAGCACGGATCCATAATTCTATATAAAATTAGTTGCATATGTAGCTCTACCCTCTTGGGGGTTGCTGAAGAATTGGGTTCGGTTATAGTCCTGCACAGCCAGGCATTCAGCATTTATCACATAAACTTGCATTCAAAGTCATGAATCAGTCCTTAAGCTTTTGTTTTGTGGTTTATTGAGGGGGTTTAGAACTGGGATAGGGATATAGGATGCCCAAGGGAACTGACAACTGCGGACAAATGTCCTGGAACTATTTACAAACTTCTCTTCTGCAACACAGTCTCTGTTGGAGCCAGGATCTCCTTGATGTACCACCTCAGGCCCTAGATGAACTCCTTTTCGCCCAGCAATCTGGAGACCAGGGGTGGACTGACAACTCATGGGGCCCCAGGGCAATAGGGATCATGGGGCCCCTGTGTCCTTGCCCAAGCTCAAAAAAGCCTATGAAAAAGGTAGCAGGGGCATCTCATGGGGCCCCCTACTGACCCCGGGCCATCGGGCAGTGCCCGAGTTTCCAAATGGTCAGTCCGCCCCTGCTGGAGACTAATGTTGGGCTTGATGTTCGAGTCAAACGTAAGTTCGATTGATAGCAGCAGGAGCCAATGACTCCTGCTGCTGCTCAAGTCCCTCTGTGAAGAGGAAGAGAGGAGAGTAGAGATCCAGCCGTGCACAGTGAAAGAATGATTGACTCAGGTAAGTATTCAGGGAGGTGGGGGGAGGACAGCACGCTGTAAAACATTTTTCACCTTAATTCAGGGAATGCATTAAGGTAAAGAATGTTTAGGCTTTATAATCAGTTGCATTGCTATGCACATTAGTTCAAGCATGGCATTTGTTTGTCATACATTCCTAAGCTTTGTCTTCATTTCTGAAACCAGTGAAAGTCTAAAAACTGTTCTAGTTTTTATCACTAGGGAGCACAACATTCCATGAGTATTTTATAAAAAATGTTTTTGATTATGGGCACTGTATCCACTGTATCGACCATATTTTAACCACTTGCCCTCCTGAGGATTTACCCCCCTTAATGACCAGGCCTCTTTTTGCTACTTGGCGCTGCACTAATTCAACTGATAATTGCGCGGTCATGCAATGCTGCACCCAAATGAAATTTACGTCCTTTTTTTCACACAAATAGAGCTTTCTTTTGGTGTAATTTGATCACCTGTGCGCTTTTTATTTTTCACGCTATAAACAAACAAAAGGCCAAAAATTTTGAAGAAAAACAATATTTTTTATTTTCAGCTATAAAAAATATATAGTAAACTCAAAGTTGGTTATAAATTTAGGCCAAAATGTATTCTGCTCCATGTTTTTGGTAAAAAAAAATCCCAATAAGTGTATATTGATTGCTTTGTGTGGAAGTTATAGCGTCTACAAACTATGGTATAAATACTGCAATTTACGCCATTTTTCTGCTATACAGCGCTGCGCTAGTTTAACGGACAATTGCGCGGTCATGCAATATGGTACATAAATGAAATTTACATCCTTTTTTTCCCCACAAATTGAGCTTTCTTTCGGTGGCATTTGATTTCCTGTGCGGTTTTTTATTTTTTGCGTATAAAAAAAAAAAGTCTGACAATTTTGAGGAAAAAAAAAACCAATATTTTGGACTTTTTGCTATAAAACATGTCCAGTAAAAAAAATGCAAAAATCAAATTTAGTCATAAATTTCTGCCAAAATGCATTCTGCGACATGTCTTTGCTAAAAAAAAAACCCAATACGTGTAAATTAATTGGTTTACGTGAAAGTTTTAGCGTTTACAAATGGCGGGAAAGATACTGGGATTTTTAGGTTTTTTTTTATACTAATAATGGCGGCGATCAGCGAATTATGGCGGTGATCAGGGACTTATGGCAGCGACCAGCAACTTATGGCAGGACTGCGGCGGACATTCTGACATTGGGGGGTACTGACTTGGGGTCACTGACATCCCCAAAAACACTAATACAGTGATCAGTGCAAAAAAAAAAAAACTGACACTGTACTAATGGCAATGGGGAGGAAGGGGTTAACTTTATTTAGCAGGGAAGGTTTATAGGAGTGAGGGGAGTGTTTTACTAGGGGGCGGGGGTGTGTACTGGGCGGGACAAGGCTGATCGAGAAAGTGAAACTATTCTTTCTCGATCAGCTCATCCTCGAGCTGACAGAGAGGTGACAGACAGCACAGCTACTGCAGGTGTGCTCTCTGTCACCGTTTACCGCAGATCGCCGGGACATAGCTGCTAACGAGCGGCTGTGACCCGGCAACTGACATCTGCGGCGGTGATCCACAGGACAAATAGGGCGGCAGCGCGCCTCGCGCGCGCCCCCTATTTTTTTACAAAACACACGTTTTAAAACGTGGTTTTGCCTGTGAGTGCCGCCCTGCCACCGTATATGTACAGTGGCTGGGTGACATGCGGTTAAATAAACATTTCTCAACCCTGGATATTCCTGGTCATGATTGCATTTGGTCAGGGACATCAGCCAGCATTCCAGACCTGTTTGTTGACATTCAGGTGCTTGCAGGAGAGCCATAATTCATGATGAGAATCTCGTGGGAGAGGATCATCGAGCATGGCTCATCGGGGCATTGTTTTTCACCACATTTGGTAAATGACATCACCCAGGGTATTATTAAACACACACTTACCTCTCCCAGGATCCATCAATGTGCTCACCCATGCTGTCCCTTCTCTGCCTCTTCTCTCCTCTGCACTGGCATTACAACTGAGGGCACCATGCTGTGACAGCTTGCGGCTTCACAACCGGGTGCCCACTGCGCATGCATGAGTCGCGCTGCCCATTCTGATTGGTCCGGCATTCTTCTGGGACCTGTCAAGGTTCCCAGGAGACTGCGGGAGGAAGGTGGGGGCCGAACTTCTGGAGCCGGAAGTGGGAGCGTGTACCTGTCAAAACCAGGTACCCTCTCTCCCCCAAAAGGTGCCAAATATGGCAGTGGAGGGGAGGAGGATGCAAACAAGTGGAGCTTCTGCTTTTGCTTTAATATGTAAAACAAGCTGGTGAGCAAGCAGTAAAGCTGTTATTTAGTGGTAGCACTGATACCATCATTAAATGATTTCCAGCTGCAGTAACAGGCAGAGGTTACAGCTCTAGGTTGCATTGCAGTGCGAATGGGACACATAGGAAACAAATGTTTCCTGTGTGTCCTTGCCATAACAGACAGTTTACAATGCGGTAAAACGTCTGTCACCGCAGTACTTGTGGATTCAGCCTGAGGATTTTTTGGAGCAAATTGACTTCACAAAGGAAGCTAGAGAGGTCAGGGATGGCTTTTTGCTTAAGAATAAATAAAAGTATATTCATAGTCTGGACACTGGCACACTTTTAAAATGTTCAACAGAAATTGTGCTCTTTCAGACCAATCACACGTCTAAAAATGCATAAGGTAGGCCTGGCTCTTCCCTGCTGCAGGGGACAACCGCATCAAACAATGTAAATGGATTAAAAATAATAGGTCATGTGTGAAATAACAGGTGTAGGCTGTCAGAAATAAAAGAACTCTGACTACTCTACAACAAACAACTTGAAGGCACAGACATTTGGATGTCTGCCAGTAGACGTACAATACTCTATAGAAGAGTGGAGATTGTGCACTTGATTTCATGCTTAGCTTTTTGTAGTTCTCTTTCTGTATTATGGTGACTGACATTCTGCTGAAGACCACAGGGCTGCTATACTGATTTTTTTTCTCAGTGGACTCCACAGACTTGAACCAGTATGAATTATAGGCCTTGTTCTGCCCTGTGTCAGCATAGATATATTAACTTCTCTAGTTACCTGGGGGGGCTCAGAGGCTAACGAAACTGAAAACAATTAATATGCCTGATTTCAAATGTTACACTAATTATATATCCCAAAGGAGAACTAAATATACCCCTCCATTTATCATCTGGAAAAATGAGCCACGGGTCGGCATGATGTCAGGGGGATCTTCTGTACTCATCATTGTCAGCCCTTTCGCTAAAAAGAAACTCATCAATCATGTAACCTCATGTAGCTATTAGAGATGCACCACACATGGAAAGGGTCTCTTGAGGACAGAAAGCCGATGCTCAGAGGGCATGCATTTAAAAGGAAACAATGGAGTATATTCAGTGTGCACATTCACAGTAATCCCTGTAACATTTACCTAAAAGTAAATCTTGATGTCATTTTAATCACTGTAAAATCCTTTTTATACTTACCAAAACTATGTAATATGAGGGCAAACCTAAAAAAAAACATTTGTTTTTGTGTTTAACCGCTTGCCTACTGGGAACTTGTACCCGCTTAATGCCCAAGTCAATGTACAGATTTCAGCTCACACTTTGAATGACAATTTCATGTTCATGCAGAATTATACCCATATGAAATTTTTATGATTTTTTTCATATAAATAGAGATTTCTTTTGGTGGTATTTAATTCGCACTGGGTGTTTAATTTTTGCACTATAAACAAAAAAAGCAAAAAATTTGAAAAAAAAAGTTTTGCTTTGTTTCTATTATAAAATTTTGCAAACAGGTAATGTGCGTTGATGAGGCTGCACTGATACACAGCACTGATGGGCACTGATGATGTGGCACGGACAGGCAGCACTGATAGGCTGCACTGATGAGGTGGCACTGGTGGGCATTGATGAGGTGGCACTGATGATGCTGCACTGATATGCAGCAATGATGGGCACTGATAGACAGCACTGATAGGTGGCACTGATGGGCACTATTGGGTGACACTGATGGGCAGCGCTGACTGGCAGTACTAACTGTTGGCACTGACGGATGGCACTGACTGGCGGCACTGCTGGGCAGCACTGATAGGTGGCACTGCTGGGCACTGGTGCGTGGCACTGCTGGGCACTGGTGGGAGGCACTGCTTGGCACTGGTGGGCATCACTGCTGGGCACTGATGATCAGTGCCCCAATGATCAGTGCCGATCTGCTTTGTGACTGTTGCCGGTTATTGACAGTACTTTCCTCATGCTGTGACAGCGTGAGGAATGTGCAGCTGATAACTGGCAACTGTATTTACTCAGTGATCTGCTGTGTCATTGGACACAGATGATAATGTGGTAAAAGGCCGTTGTGATTGGCCTTTTACCTCAGCGCGTGATCATCTGTGTCGGTAGGACACAGCGATCACGGAGATTGCCGGGTGTGCACCACTGGGGGCGTGTGGAAGGGCGTATTCTGGGGGAATGTTATATGACACCCTCCCAGAACTGGACAATCATGCTGTAGCTGTCATTCGGCTACAGTGCGGTTGGCAACTGGTTAACTACTTGAAAAGTCTTGGTAGAGTTGAAGGAGAGTGTACAATCAAATTTTACAGTGTATTATCAACTTGAAGTAGTATTAACCACGTAAGCTCCAGAAGGTTTTACCCCCTTCTTGACCAGAGCATTATTTCTATTCAGAACTGCACTACTTTAACTGGCTATTGCAACACTGCACAGAAATGCAACACTGTACGCACATGAAATTTATATTTTTTTTCACACTAGAGCTTTCTTTTGGTGGTGTTTGATCACCACTGGGTTTTTTATTTTTTATCATATGTG